ACTGTGGTGACAAATCCTTTTACAGTGATCCAGGGCCCCTGTTCTTGATCTCCTCCACTGTGTCGTAGTCCTTTGGAACCGAGTTCTTGAACCCTCTATTGATATTCGCGTCATTCATATTTGCAATATCAGATTGCGTGTTTTACCTTCTTGCTTGTGCTCTTCGATTCGCTTGCGTGAAAAGCCTTCTTGGCGAGGTCAATCAAGTTGTGCTTGGTTGATAACCAACGGAGCGAGTGGTGTAACGTTGCGAGGTTCAATCGTGTCCGATTTGAAGCCGGATCGCCAACGTCGAGATCTCCACAAATCGAACTTACCGGCTACCTCTCGGAAGATCGGGCCTGTACTCATCAATTGGTATCAGAGATATTTCAGGTTTACCGCAAGGTATAATCTCGTTTGCCTTAGATTCATATTTGTTCATTACCTAGAGTCCACGAACGAAGATCCAACGCCACAATTTGTTCCACATGTATCTCATTGTGCAGGGTTGTCGTGTTCTCACTATCATTGATGGCGGGAGTTGCAACAACTTGGTGAGTTCAGATTTGGTTGACAAGCTTGGCTTGACCACACGACAACATTCGTATCCATATAAACTTCAAAGGTTCAATAATAGTGGTAAGACTAAGGTAACTAAATCAGCATGCATTAGCTTTTTCACGTGCTCTTATCATGATATCGCTGATTTTGATGTTGTCCCTATGCAAGCTTGTTCCATTTTGTTAGGTCGACCATGGGAATTTGATAATGATGCTTTACACCATGGTAGAACTAATACATACACTATCATACATAAGGACAAGAAAATTACATTGTTGCCTTTGTCTCCTACTTGGATATTATTAAACATGCTAATGAGATTAAAAATAAACCTCCAATGACATTGCTAAAAATAATGGGATTAAGTTAAAAGGAGGTGCTTTTCTTGCTACAACTTCTGCTCATCACTGAGTTATGTGATAATCCTGATGCACCATGTTATACTATGTTTTGTCAACCTTTTATGTCCGGTGGATTGCCTCATCGTCACTAACCTTTTGCAGGAGTTCACGATGATGGGATGGAGTCGAGGACGACTCCAATTCTAGAAGGAGGGATGATGAGGACATCGCAAGATGGAGTCGAGGACGACTCCAATTCGAGAAGGGAGGATGATGAGGACATCGCCACGCTGGACACACCGACGCCATGGTCTTCCCCAAGTTGCAATTCGTTCCCAACTCACCGCCACGTCGCCCTCGGATTCAGCGAGACACGTCGTCATCACTGTTTTTCGGGTCATAACTTTCTCATACGACATCGAAACGGGCCGTTCTTGGATGCGTTGGAAAGGGACGACGATGCCGTCGTTTTGGATCTGGTCCCAGCTCCAGAAGGTTCGTGGATCATTCTGTTGACCACGACAAGGTGCTGCGTCACCTATTTGGGCCAACTTGGCCATGTATCGTGTCGGGCCTTAAGCCCAAGTTGTGGGCGCCCAACCCCCGGCCGTCCCCAACCCTAGGTCGAGTCTTAGACTATAAACACAGCCGCCGCCGCTGCTACACAATTGGGTTTTGTTTAGAGTTTAGTTTTCCATCGAGAAACCGAATCGCTCATTGTAATCGTGACAAATCCTTTTACAAAGGATCCAGGGCCCCGTTCTTGATCTCCTCCACTGTGTCGATTAGTCCTTTGGAACCGAGTTCTTGAACCCTCTATTGATATTCGTGTCATTCATATTTGCAATATCAGATTGCGTGTTTTACCTTCTTGCTTGTGCTCTTCGATTCGCTTGCAGGAAAAGCCTTCTTGGCGAGGTCAATCAAGTTGTGCTTGGTTGATAACCAACGGAGCGGTGGTGTAACGGTTGCAGGGTTCGAATCGTGTCTGATTTGAAGCTGGATCGCCAACGTCGAGATCTCCACAAATCGAACTTACCGGCTACCTCTCGGAAGATCGGGCCTGTACTCATCACCGCGCGCGCCGCCAAGAGAAAGGAGAAAGGCCCCGCCGCCGCCATCCCTGCCGGCCGGGAGGCCATGCCGGTGGCCAGCTCCGGCAGCGGCGCGACGGGGGGAGGGGAGGGGCTGCTAGGGTTTGGGTGGAGGAGCCGCCTGAGCCGCTCACGTGGGAGTGACGCGGGGGTGGGGATGATGAATAATGGAAATCTTGACATGCTATATCTTGCATTTGCATATGGGATTCAGATTGGCTCATGGATTCACACAGTGTTTGTTACTACTAGCCGTTTGGATCCCTTTATTTAGAGGAATTGAAATCTACATAATAATTTAAGGTATTTGGCTTGGACTTTGACATTCCACTACTTTTCAAAGTTCACATATAGTCTATCTCAAATTCATAGGGTGGGAGATGAAAATTGATTTTATAGATCACCATGCTATGTTTCTAATTTGCAACTTATAACACACTCTTCAACTCGCTCCCCTACGGTAGAAATACAACCCATAAGTATTTCTCTCGTATAGCCAACAATAATATACAAATATAATCCATATACAATCAGCATATTAGCTTAATTAATATGTGTCTAAATTACAATTCTTAAAATGAATTCAATTCCAAAGATTAAACGGGGCCTTAGGATTTATATTGTCACAACCTTTTATGCAAACATCAAGCTTTTATGCCGGCAGAAGGATAATTGTATGCTGACCGAAGGATAATTGTAATAACCATAGTTCTTTTTTTTCGAACATATATGTGCCAGGGCACAAGTGTTTGATTAAGAGGATATAATAACCATAGTTCCAGCCGTATGCATGCATGTAATCTGGCCATGGGCTAGCCAAAGCCATACTGATCATCAGCCTCGCGATCTCAGTGGTCCACCGTTATTTCAAAAGCTGCCGTTCCTGAAACTGAAATGTTTATCTTACTATGAAGTTAATAGTTATACATATATGCTCAAAAGGGAACCCGTTGAAATATTACTGTATACACGTAACGTTACTTTTTGTGCTATACTGTACTAGAATATACTATGTACCTGTTGATGCCTGGTCGTCATTATTCTTGGATAGTAATGGCTGCCAATCGAACTCGTTGCTTCCATTTGGTCTGCAGAATTGGGCACGTTCGTTATATAGTATATGCAATCATGCTAAACATGGAAATTCTATTAGGTGCCGTTTGGATATTGGGATATAGGGAGTAGGATAGGCAAAAAGAAATGAATAAATAGCTAGGATTAAATGAGATATAAAGAACAGATAGCTAGAATATATATCTCATATCCCTATCCCTATCCCTATCCCTATCCCTATCCCAATCCCCATCCCTATCCCTATCCAAACGTAGCCTCACTACCGGACTCCTTGAGTTTGCCGAGTGCCCGAAACACTCGGCAAAAGACATAAAACACTCGGCGAACAGCACTCGCCAAAAACAGTGACGGCAAAGCCAACTTTGCCGAGTGTCTTTTATCGGGACACTCGGCAAAGTTGAAACCGAAAAAAACCCGAAAAAATAGGAATTTTTACAAAAAAAAAATAGATTTTTTTTATCGATGGAGGCCCCCACCGGCCAGCGCCCACCCATCTATGACATTTTATCGATGGAGACCTCCCGCTGTGCACATACCTCCTCTACCACTACACCACACTCTCACTTGTGTCTGGATTCCGTTTTAGTTCCCAATATATTATACTAAACCGAGTGTAAATTGCATGTTTGAGGCCCTAAACGAATTCAAATAAAAAAGTTGTAAACTACAAAGTTTCATAACTTTTCGAGATCTACATTTTTAGTTTAGGAAGTTTTTACATCCGAGGTCGTTTACAAAATTTGAATTTTAAAATTTTGAAATTCAAACACAGTTTTGCATGACAAGATGTTTTCAAATCAAAAAGTTGTTAACTACAAAGTTTCATACTTTTCGAGATCTACACTTTTAGTTTAGGAAGTTTTTCCATCCGAGGTCGTTTACAAAATTTAAATTTTAAAATTTTGAAATTCAAACACAGTTTTGCATGACAAGATGTTTTCAAATCAAAAAGTTGTCAACTACAATGTTTCATAACTTTTCGAGATCTACAGAGTTTATTTTGGCTGTTTTTTCATCCGAGGTCGTTTGAAAAGTTCGAATTTTAAAATTTTGAAATTCAAACGCAGTTTTGCATGACAAGATGTTTTCAAATCAAAAAGTTGTCAATTATAAAGTTTCATACCTTTTCGAGATCTACAAAGTTTATTTTAGTTGTTTGGTCATCTGTTCATCCGACATGGTCGTTCTAACATTGTTCACAAATCTTATATCTCTCTCTTGTAGTTTCATAAACTACAAGAGAGATATGTTAGATTTGTGAACAAATTTATTTTCACTTTGTCATATGAAGAAAAGACCAAAACAAACATTGTACATCTTGATGAGTTATACAACTTTGTAGTTGAAAACTTTTTCATTTGAATTAATTTACTGCTTCAAAATGTGCTTTGAAATTTTCTTTGCCGAGTGTAAAAAAAACACTCGGCAAAGAGTCTCTTTGCCGAGTGTTAAAAAAAACACTCAGCAAAGACATCTTTGCCGAGTGCCCGAAAAACAACACTCGACAAACCACCTGGCACTCGGCAAAGAGCCGGTCCCCGGTAGTGCCTCAATGAAAATATGTGCCCTACAAATTCCTCCTCCGCACACACAATCCCCCACCCCCACCCCACCACACCACCTCCACACCCCCACGCACCACCCACCACCACACACAAAAAAAATTGTCTCTACCAATAGTATTTAAAAGCAGAAGTGTTTCTTCCATACGGCATCCCTTTCACCCAATGCATGACAAGTGTGTCCGAGCTTCTTCTACACCTCGCTCTCCCATGGCCAGCCAAATTAATTTTATAATCATCTAATGGCTTAGATTAATTTAAAGAGATTAACTGTCGGAGAAGATTTCAACTGTCGGAAAAGATCTATATTGTTGGAAAAAGGGTTTAACTGTCAGCGTAGGCCATAGGTTAACCATTTAGCTACACTCTATTTGTCGGCAATTGTATTAATAGCTGTCGGCAAAGTTTTCACCGTCTGCTTCTACCGTGACTATTTCCAAACTGTCGACAAAACCTAGCGGGAGGCTATCTGTTGCGAAAGGTACTCTTTGCTCACTTTAGAAAGCGTCAGTAAAGATGGGTTGTGTCAACACTATGTGTATATTTATTTGGCGTACGTACAGAAACGAAAACATATGAATCACACAGTAAATGATAATAATTCAGTTGCGTCTTAATAACATGTTGGTATAATTTGTTTTACTTGTTAATCTTTGGTTTCTCGAGCCACTGTACCTATATATAATCTGCTGTACTTTTGGGGCATGCAAATGAATATATAAAAAATGAAACAGGAGTGTTGAGCTAGTAGGTGACCTTGCGCCCTTGCGGGCCGCTGGGCGTCCGAATGATTGTCCTTGTTCGCAGCCAGATTTCCATCATGTCCACCCTGCTCCTGCTGCTGCTGCTGCTGCTGCTGCATGACTCCGACGAGCACCTGCTCGACGCGATGCGTAGCGTCGATCTGGGTGACGACGGGGAGCAAGTGGGTGTAGACCTCGTCGACGTCCTTGTTGGCGCGCTCCAGCCTGCTGGCCAGCTCGTAGCTCCTGGCGAAGCCCAAGAGACAGCAGCAGCTGCTCATGGACATGGACGCGGACGCGGCGAGGCGGTCCACCTTGCTCACCGTCGCCTCTAGTCGCCTCGCCAGCACCGTCCTGACAGTTTGCGCTGTAGTGGCCGTCGTCGTGCTGGCGCTGGCGCCGCCCTTCTCCTTCTCGGCCGCCGCCAGTGATGGTAGCAGCTGGAGCAGGTCGCGGAGCCACGCCACGCGCTTTGTCAGCCGCCGGCGCTCCTTGTTGTTGTGCCAGGTCTGCCTCACCCTCAAGCACAGGGCGGCCGCCACACAGGCCACCACACATAGCAGAATGGCCGTGATGAGCAACCGCGCTGTGGCCTCGTCGTTCCGTGGACTCGAGAGAGGAGAAGGGGCGGGGAAGCTGCTGCTGTCCATGGTGTGTTTTGTGTTGAGTTTGGGCTGGGTTGTGCGTTTTTTTCAACTTGTTTTTTTTTATATTTCTAAAATACTCTCGGTTTTGACCTGTCCATCCACGTCCACATAAAGTTTTTTGATTGGGTCCGTCGTCTAATCCAATTTCGATTGGAAATGTTTCGTCTTTTTCAGTAGACCATACCTCCACCACAGGACGAAAAGAGGGATTGGAGGTGGATAGTGCGGGAGAAGGAGAACTTCACATACTCATATATATGGATATATTCAGATAATCAAAGACTCTTTATACCCTTTCTAATTAATAAGAATAGAAATTTTAATAAAAAATCACTACTAAAAAATGATTTGTAACAACATGAGGCTTTTTGTGTAGAGGCTGCTCAATTTCCAGACACCTCTACAGTGGCCTTCCAAATCAAGCCGCCTCTACAAATGACCCTATTTTTAGAGGGCTCGACCCTATTTCTAGCCGCCTATAAAATTGATTTCTAGATATGGCTCCATTTTCAGTCGCCTTATCAATTTCTAGAGGCGGCTCTATTCCCATACGCCTCTAGAAATCGATTTCTAGAGACCATTGAAAATAGAGCTGCCTCTATAAATAAGAGTTGCACAGTAAATTTTGATTTTTTTTCAAACAATCTCGGATAAAGAAATGACCAAAACAAAAGTTGTAAATCTTAAAAAATTATGTAACTTTATAGTTGCCAATTTTTTCATTTGAATATCTTTCAATTTTTTTTTCATTTGAAATCATCAATGGAAAGAAAATTACATTTGATTTTCTCACATTTGAAATTCAAAATTTCCAAACGATCTTGGATAGAAAAATGACCAAAAACCAAAGTTCTAGATCTCGAAAAGTTATAAAACTCTGTAGTTGATGACTTTTTCATTTGCATTCGTTTAGGATCTCAAATACTAATTTCAAAACCGAAGATAAAATGAGGAGGACGAATGTCCCAAATATTGTATGGGTGGAGTGGTTCCAGGACAAACGTGTGCGGCCTGCGGTCGCAAGTTCTAGCCCCCACGCCCACGCAGTGTGCGAATAATCTTACGATGGCACGCGTGTGTGGCTGCCTTATGGGGTCTTCCTGTGTTTTTTTTTAAATCGTTGATTTGTAGAGACGGTACTGAAGCATCCTAGCCGCCTCTAAAAATGAATTCTGTAGTAGTGAATTACCCTTCAACGACTTCTTTAATTAGATCTCAAAAACTAATCATCGTCTATTATGGATTTCTCGCTAGCTAAAGATGGAGCAAGGATGACTGTCTAGAGTGACCACGAGATATAGAAAAGTTGTTAAAGCATCTCAAGAGTCCTTTCCATAGCTCACTCTCTAAATCATCATTTGAAGAGTCATTTGTATAAAAATCGCTTTCTATATATCTTTCCACCTCTAAGAGCAACTCCAAAAGACTCTATATCAGATTTTGTTGAAAAGGCTTTTGGATATAGAAATCGATTTTTATGCAAATGACTCAAATGATGACATAGAAGGTGAGTTTAAAAAAGACTTCTAGAGATCATCTTAGAAAATGGACTGAACAGTGAACATACAGGGAGCTCACATTGTTACGTTAATGCTTGGTTGAGGGCGTCCGTACAGGCGGACAGATTGACCCCCGCGCGCGTTATACCCAATAAAAAAAGGGGCGCGTAGTTACAGTCAGACGGGGTCCGCACCTTGGGAGTGCATGCGTCCACTGGTTTGGGGTGCATGCGGTGCGTAGGGGTCGTGCATGCGCGTGACCACAAAGAGAGAACTGGCTGTGAGAGGACACAGGCCCACATCTGCGTGGCAGTTGAGTGTTGGCCCAAATTTTTCCTTCACTCCATGGCAGCTTGCTCTGTAGGTTTCATGAGTTTCAGATGTATGTCTCATCTCGATGTTGCATGGGTTTCATCTGGATGTTTTATATGTTGCAATGGCTATACATGTATGTTGCAAGTGTATGTTTCAAATATTTCAGCTGTTTCAAACGTATGTTGTAAATGTTTTATCTGGATGTTGGATATGTTGCAATGGCTATACACGTATGTTGCAAGTGTATGTTTCAAATGTTTCAGCTATTTCAAACGTATGTTGCAAGTGTTTTTTCTAGATGTTGCATATGTTGCATTGGCTATACACATATGTTACAAGTGTATGTTTTAAATGTTTCAGCTGTTTCAAACGTATGTTGCAAGTCTTTTATTTAGATGTTGCATATGTTGCAGTGGACACACACATATGTTGCAAGCATATGTTTATAAATGTTTTATTTGTTTTGAAAGTATGTTGCAGCAAATGTTTTATGTTGTAAGTGTTGCATGACCAGGCGCGGGAAGTGGGCGCAGACGCAGGTGGTCCCATCGTGCGTGTGGAAGAAGCGAAGCGGGCGCGGCAGCCCCCACATGCATGTGCATGCATACCGCAACAGCAGGTAGGGCTGGGCCGGCAGATGCGGCAGCAGCAGTGTGGATATGTGCCGCAGCAATGTGTCGGTGGGCGGGCAGGAGCTGCATGCGTGCGCTGTTGGGCCCGCCCAGGCAAAGTGGGAGGCGAAGGCGCGGTACACGTGTCTCTTCCGGTTGGCCGCATGCATCCAGAGAAGTGCGTCACCTGCGTCATTTCTAGTCTTATGTAGAGGAAGCGCGTCCGTCGTGTGGACGGGCAGTAGGCGTGGGCATCTGAACATCCGGACGCTAGTCTTTTCCATCTCGTTATTATCGCGGAAGAAGTAGCAAGCAATAGTCCAGCCGTATCTTTAGCATATGAGATCGCCATCGCGGAGGGGCGTAGACGAAGCACAACATAGCACGTGGCTTCGTTTGCGCATCGCATGGCGCCATGGTGGCATGTGAGAGTGGGGAAGGAAGAGAAGCGATGGTGTCAACGTGGGAGCGAATGACCAGACGAGGAAGATGCCGAGGGCCTTGATCCTGTACTACGCCTCGGCCAATGTATAACGTGTAAAGAAGCAATTGACCAATCGAGAGACTTGTCGGAAATAATCCCGTCCGAACGTTCGGACAGGACCGCGCGCCGAACGACGAGCGCGGGAACCGCGGTATGACTCAGTCCCACAAGCGCAGGGCCATGCACGCAGAGCGACAGAGGGATGCCCGATGCTTATCCGCTGGGTAGATTCTCGTTCTTTTTTATGTTTCTTTCGTGGCTTCATTTGTGGTATTTTATTCTTGTCTTTTTTTATATTCATTTATTTTTTTACTTTACTCTAATTAATCATTTCCTGTATTTTTTTCTTCTATTTCTTTTTTTCCTTCCTTCCGTTTCTTTATTTAATTTTCTATGTGATTTTTTTGTTTCAAGTTTTTATATGTTATATGAGATACAAGGTAAGTTCGATAGTACACATGTGTCAATTTTCTTTTTTTCTTTCTTACTTAAACTATTCATTCATTTTATTTTTCTATAGTTTTACATTTATTGTTTATTTTATGTGTATTTTTATTTTTTTAATTATTTTACTCTAATCTAATTAATTAATTTGGTAATTTTAATTTTTTTACCTTTTTACACTATTTTACGAGATATATTAATGTTCTATGATATATTATGTGATGTTCACGTAGTATATATGATGTTCTATGATGTATTCTCTGATGTTCATGTAGTATACATGTGATGTTCTATAATGTATTATGTGATGTTTTTATGATGTATTCTCTGATATTCATGTAGTATACATGTGATATTCTATAATGTATTATGTGATGTTTTATGATGTATATTGTGTGTTCACGTAGTATACGTGTGATGTTCTATGATGTATCATGTGATGTTCTTTGATGTATTACGTAGTATACATATGGTGTTCTATGATATTTTTTTATGTTGTTCACGTGGTATAATGTGATGGTTTATGATGTATTTTTGTGACGTTCATATACTATACATGTGATGTTCTATCATGTTTCTGTGATGTTCACGTGGTATACATGTGATGTTCTGTGATATTTTTTTGTGATGTTCACGTAATATACATGTGGTGTTCACGTAGTATACATACGATGTTATATGATATATTCAATGATTTCACGTAGTATATATACGATGTTCTATGATATATTCAGTGATGTTCATGTAATATATATATGATGTTCTATGATGTATTTTGCAATGTTCATGTAGTATACATGTGGAGTTCTATATATTTTTGTGATATTCACGTACTATACATAGGATGCTCTACGTATTTTAGGATGTTCATATATTATAAATGCATGTTCCATGATTTTCTTTAAGTTCCCATGAGATATTCTATGTTATATTTTAGATTGTTTAAGTAATATCCATGTGATGATCTTTTTTAATTTACCTCTATTACGTGGAATTTTCTTTTCCCTTGTGATTTGTCCTATGCTTTTGCTTTGTTATTTTTTTCATGTGATGCTTTTGTCCGGGTTACATCACGTACCAAATAGTTATGGTATTTTATTTTGTTTCCTTTTTACTTTGATCTAAATTTTACTATTTTTATTTATGTTATGGTATTTATTTATTTACTGTTTCTATGTATTTATAGTTTTTTGTTATTATTTTTTCATGGATCACGTACCAAATAGTTATGGTATTTTATTTTGTTTCCTTTTTGCTTTGATCTAAATTTTACTATTTTTATTTATGTTATGGTATTTATTTATTTACTGTTTCTATGTATTTATAGTTTTTTGTTATTATTTTTTCATGGATCTTATAGTACCATGAACCTATAACTAGAATAATGTTCTTTTAAATTGAGAACATTTTTCTTACGAAGACAGAACATTGTTTTTCTGAACTTAGAACATTGTTTCTACTCAATAAAAATATGTTCTATCTTCACAATATAAATGTTCGTTATAAAATTTTATCTAAATGTATGCACGTGGGATCTTGTTTTGAATGATTTATTGCAAGAAAGACGATGGTTGGATGTTTAATTTGGCAGTTATGACTTTTTTAAAACTTAGCAAATGCTTACTCTATAAGCTATTCTCAACGTACTTTTCTTTTCAGCAGCATGCATGCATGTGGAGGAGAGACTTCCAATAAAACAACAGTATCATTAAATTATTATTTTTTATGAACGTGCGGTGTGCCATGCGCAGCTGAGAGCGATGCGGGTCGAGGTGGGCCGTGGGCCGTGGGCCAGCCAGACGCGACACATGGAGTGCAGAAAATAATTTACCGCTTCCGTACGCGAGTGGGCGAGCGGGAAACATCGGTGCGTGGATTCCGTCCGAACGGCCGGACTGCAGCACCCCGCGAGACTTGCAGAGGCTGTGCTGGCTGAGGCCACGGTAAGGACACTGGATGGCCGCCGCAGATCAGACAGCAATAGGCAGATGATGACGTGGCCGTGCGAGGTGCCGAATTTCGTGTACAAAAACAAAACAAAGACAGGCGGGGACAGCATAGAAGCACAGTGGAGCTCTGAATCATGGGCAGTACCGAAAAAGAAAAAGTTTCATTCATGTACATTATTAAAATATAACCACAACACGAGTAAATATGTGCATGCTAGGAGTATCGGATGGGACAAAGGGCCACGGCACATTTAGATATTTCACGCTTTCTGAAAGCTTGCTTTGTAGGAGTATTAAGCTATTATTAAATCTGTACAAGATCACAATTCCAAGGGAGTTTTGTCTTGCATAATTGTTCATACCACTCTGTTCCAAGGAACTCGTGCCCTAACCCCACCAGTACACGGTAAATTACGATGACACAACATCTGTAGTCTCATTTGCTTTCCTATACTCATAAACGAACTTGGCAAATCGGGATGAACTGTCATCTAGCAGTTTTTCTGGCGTGTCATGCTCTGCAATTTCGCCTGTTTTACATGGACAGTGTTAAAGTGGGAGGAGAAACAAATGTAAACATAGATTTGGCTCGTAAGCCAGGGCCTTGTTGCTTACCGTTATCCAGAACCAAGACTCTGTCGCTGTCAAAAACTGATGTGATTCGATGCGCTATTGCAATGATTGTGCATTCGAGAAATCGCTGTTTCAAGGTTTCTTGAATCAAGCTGTCAGTGGTTGGATCTACAGAGGACGTTGCCTCGTCCAAAACCAAGATCTTTCTCCTTTTCAGAATCACCCTTCCCAAACACACAAGTTGGCGCTGACCTGCGCTCCAGTTTTTGCCGTTTTCTGTCACTGCATTCATTCCAAAATCAAAGAAGGAGTTATGGTTTTGAAATCATAGAGCAATGTCTAGGGACCTTCTGGCAGATATCTAACCTGTCGAGTCAAGCTTAAGTGCATTCTTTCTAACTTCATCCCCAAGATGACAGGAATCCAACGCCTAGAGAACACAACCATAGAGTGTTTTAGCCACCAAATGGTTCCAAAGAGTACTATAGTTTAATATATATATACTAGGCGCGAAAAGGAAATGTTAAGACAAATTGGTATGTACCTCCCAGATTTGCCCATCACTATACTCCCCAAGGGGGTCAATATTGGTTCGCAGGGTCCCCTCAAACATAACAGGATCTTGTGGAATGATGCTCAATCTAGTCCGAAGGTCATGCAGTCCAATGGTGCTGATGTCAGTGCCATCTATCAACACTTGGCCAATACATGGGTCCACAATGCGGAATAGTGTTTGAATCAAGGTTGATTTGCCACCACCTGTTCTACCAACAATACCTGTCTTCTTTCCACCTTGTAAGGTGCACGTCAGACCTTTCAAAACAAAAGGCAGCAGTGGTGCATACCGAACCTGCATCACATAACAAGCAGTTAAGCTAGAGCAGTCCGTTTCAGGTGATATTTGTTTTCCACCTTAAGCCAAGTTTATGTTTTCTAGAATATTCTAGGAATATATTAAGAACTAAAGGCTGCAATTCTGATAACAGCAGGAACAACATTGAAAACAAAAGGACATGTTAACACTAGAATAATGACATAATGAAATTGATGATTTACAAATTACAACAGTTAGCATTTACTATCCCTAAAACTGATGCGAGCACAACAATTATATAAAACTGAATATGTATAATACATAAAGTTGAAGAGACAAACATGTAGGTTGCGCAGCTCAATTTCACCCTTTGTTGGCCACTGATCATTTGGTCGAGTTTCTGATATTGTAAGCGGTGGTTCAGAAGGAATATTCATATACTGCATCATTCTTTCCACAGATATCATTTTATTTTCCAAACTGCAGAGGATAGCAATAGCCCACCCTTGTAGCATATTGAGACTTAGTCCATAGGTGACCGCAAGACCAGCAGTCTCTGTACAAAATATTATCAAGCATGTTAGTAGACACTAAGAACAATATTGATCTTGCATTCTTGCTAGAAAAAGGATATGCTTACTTGGGTTGATTAAAGCAGCTGGAGAGAAGACCAGAAGTATCAATGTGAAGGAAAAAACAAAGGATGAAAGAATATCCAAGCGAAAGCACAGCCATTCCATTGCAGCTGCATTATATAAACTTGGTCGAGATAAGTTATCCATCAAATGTCCAATAGAACTGATAAATTGCCTTTCCTTTTGAAAGCATCTAATGATATTTGAGCCAGCTATTGATTCGGTAAAATGTTGCATCACTGGGGCTCTGCGAACTCCAGTCAGCCTTTGCAACTCTCTAGCAGCATCTATGTAGTATTGCTAAAAGTTGGAAGAGCGTATCATGATTAGGAACAAAATAATATGCACATAATTGTAATTCTCAGCTACAAATTAATTAATATCAATGAGAAATTGCACCATTAATTTGAAAAATATAAAACTGATATAATTATATTAAAATATATAATTTACCTGATACCACAGTGATGCAATAATAGTGGGAATAAAAATTATGAAGACTGGCCATGCAACCTGTGACATTAGAATAATTGTTCCTAGAATTTCAATGGCAGGAAATAGAAGATAACCCATCAGTTCAAAAATTCTGGTATCCACTGTGCTTTGATCTGTGGAAGCCTACAGTTTGTTTCAACTTTCAGCATTGACACAATAAAAAAGCAAATAGCATTGCAAGTACACCCTAATTCCTTATGCGGTTAAACAAACATTCTGTATGTAATTGCTTACTCTGTTCAAGACACGCCCACTAGGAGTGGAGTCAAAGAAATACATTGGAGCTCGGAATACACAGTTGTGCATTTTTTCAAATATAATAGTAGCAGTTTTACATCCAGCCTTGACAAGAAGATATGATCGCATGAAGATGCACAATGAGCTAACAATTGCTAATGCAAAATACACATTCACCATCAGCAAGCTACTGACTGGAGGATTCACATCTTCAGATATTGGGGCTGCCCAGGCCATCCAGAAATTGCTTCCGATTTGAAGAACTTGGAAAATGATATGAGCTAGCAAAATAAGTGGCACAAGTGCTCCACTATATGCCATCGTAACATACTCCCAGTAGACAATAAATCCAACCCGGCCTTTCTCCCTCTCTTCTTCTTGTACCAGTTGACCATTTTGAACAATCCCCTCGTCATTGTTACCATCCTTCTTATCCTCTGCTATGAATAGGGTGTTTCCATTGCCACCAGGATGATATGAACTTCCAAAATTACCACTAGGACGCATTGATAAGGCATCGTCATGGGATTTAAATAGTTTCTTAAGTTCTTCTCCAGATTCAAGGATTTCAGCGCGATTCCCTGACTCTGTTATTTTTCCATCTCTCATAACCTGAAAGATGAGGAGAGAAATTGGAAAGGTGATAAGTTTGTTGCAATGGTTGCGTGTTCAATGGAGCCTCCCCTAGCGTGCAGCGAATCAGGTTTTAGAAGAGGGAAGCCTGTGGTATTTAGCAGGAACTAGAGGGTTAGCGCAGTTGGATGTAACTATCTCTTAAGTCTGCTTGGTATTTTGGTAGATGTTATTGTTTTTTTGTTCCTGGCGCGAGTTTATTGTTTTCTTTGTGTGTGTGTGTGTGTGGTAAATATTGTGTTCTTCCTAATGAAATGATTCATAATTCTCTCGTGTATTCTAGAAAAAATAATAGAAAAGACTAGACATTTGTTGCTAGCTTACCAGTATAAGATCAGCTGAATCTAAAAAATTGACATGATGGGTAACATACACAACAGTTTTTGAAGCTAAGAATCCTTGCAGGCACTCCTGCAACAGCAATATACAAGTTATAGTCAGCAACTTTCACTTAATAGCAACAAATAATCTCTTGAACCCTAGAATAATGCTCAAGGACACATTAGATCAAAGTTTCTTTAATCAAAGTAAAAAAGGCACAGTGATGGCAAGCAACAGCAAGACACAGAAGCATGGCATGTTGGCACCAGCGATAGACAATGGCGGAATCGACGCCACAGCGGTAAGGCAGAACAAGTCCCTGCGGCCATATCTGATGGGAGAAAAGGATGGTAAAACAGCAAGCCAGCAACTAGCTGATATTGAGGTAATATGTTTCCCCGGAATTAGCATATTTTCTTGAAGTACCATCTCGCCTATATTCATTTGTACTGTATCAAGACAAAGTCTAGTTCTTATTGGCAATTTTATTAATTATAAACAATAAAAGAAACAACTCTTACTTATTTCCTCTGCCAAGAATAATAAAATAGCTTAAGTGCTAAAAGAATAAAACAATTAAACAAATACTGAATTGGAAACTAATCAGGGAAAGAAGTAAAAATGAATATTTGCAACATTGTAACAAAAAAAAATATACAAGGACTTTTTATACAAATGCTATAATTAAGACTAGTTTCAATATAATGAATTAATTCCAAAACATACCTTGAACAAGTGCTGTCCAGTATGAGCATCAACTGCACTAAATGGATCATCAAATAGAAAGATATCAGCATCTTGATACAAAGCACGGGCAATTTGTATCCTTTGTTTTTGTCCACCACTTAAGTTGATTCCTCTCTCTCCTATAATTGTTTGGTCGCCCAAAGGCAATATATCCATATCCCTTTTTAAAGAGCATGCTTCAAGGACCTTTCTGTATCTTTCCCTATTCATCTGTGTACCGAAAAGTATGTTTTCTTCAATTGTCCCACTTTGTATCCATGGTGATTGGTTAACACAAGCTATTGTACCACAAGTTCGAACCTCTCCAGATAACTTTGGTATCTCTCCAAGTATGCAAGACAATAAACTTGATTTACCAGACCCAACAGTACCACAAATAGCGGCTTTAGTTCCTTGTTGTACACAAAAGTTGAGGTCTCGGAGAGTTGGCACCTGAGAAGATTTTTCCCAGGAGAAGTAACCATTCCTCACCTCAATGGACATATCAGTGCTACCACTTGGAAGCTTAGTTACCGCATCACTTGCTAACTCCTCAAGGCAGAGAAATGAGCATATCCTATCAAGTGATACTTTAGTCTGAATGATTGACGAGATCGCATCTGGCAGACTGTGGATAGGACCTTGCAACTGCCTAAATGTTGCCAGAGCAGATAATACTTTTCCAGTTTCTAATGGGATGCCAAAAATTATGCAAGTACCAAAAGTGATCATGGCAACAAATGCAGGAGCACCAAAAAAGACAGACATAAGCATTGATGAGGTGTAGACATATTTCTTTATCCAGTTCATCTCAGCCTTCCTCAACTCTTTTATCTTGGACAAGAAGATCAATTCCCAACCTTGAAGCTTGAGAATGCGCATGTTCTGTAATATCTCAGACATAGCGCTCATTCTAGCATCCTTGGCGCTCATAGTTTTCTCTTGGTAATTTTGCTCCATCCTCCCCAAAGGTATGTTAGCCAACATTGTCAAAACAGTGGCAGAAAGGGCCGCAAATGCTGCCAAGCCAAGAGTAGAGTATAAGATAATCATTGCGAGACTAATTTGCACAGGGAGCAACCAAAGTTCGTGCATAGACCAATTGAAATTTCCTACTTGCTCAGCATCAAGGTTCACAACATTGATCAACTCTCCACTTGATCTACCTTGCTTTGACTGACTAGAGAGGGCAAGACCCTTTTGGTAAATAACAGCAACAAGAGCGGAACGCATACGCAATCCTAATTGTTGTGATCTGAAGAGCAAATGTCTTGATGAGAGACCTTCCATCAGCTGTGCAACAACAAATGCCAACACTAAAAGGTATCCTCTTTTAGTAGATCGTGGGTTTTCATTTAGGTAGTCAACAAAGTACTCAATCAGATAGGGACCAACATATGCAGTAACAGTACAAAGTAGGGCATAAACTGCAGTGACAGTGATTAGTTTCCATGATGTAAGCATAAGAGCTTTGACCAGCTTAACTGTTGTAACATCAGTATACTGCCCTGTAGCAGAAATCAAGGCAATCTTTGATTTAAACTTGGGGGTGATTCCATGGACACTGTCAATGTTATCCAAGAATGGCACATCATTAAGGTCTAGTGATTTCCTCTTCCCAAGTTCAAGTAAAGGCCCCATCCAAGAAAAGGTGATGTTACTCAACAGTCCAGCATTTGAGAAAAGTGATCTACTGCCTGTTGCCTCAGATAAGGGTGAAGATCCATGATCCAAAAGTGGTTCCTCCATGATACTGTGATAGTTTCTGAATCGAAAACAATAATAATAATTAAAATAAAATGGTAGAACTTAATTGTTTCTTCTGCAATCATAATACAAAAAAGGTAAAGGGGCTGGCGTGTATTTCAAGAGATAAGATATCCTCAAATTGTATTAGTTGTTGTTATAACAACAGATAATGTTTTTAACTTTGAAGTGCACAAGCATACATAAGTGAGCTCTAAGAAAACAAAATAAGCGACCTAGTTAATGAGTAGAAAGAGAAAATATCTACCTAAACTAAAATGCCATTTGAAAGGTGAAAGGAGAATGCTGTTACCAAAATCATGGCTATGGAGCAACAACCTAGAGTTACACTTACTTACAGATGCAAGCCTATCTAGGCAAGAGACTGTGTAAATAAGCAAGAAAAACCCAGTGATATTCACGTTAAAAGCAAGACTAAAATTGTAATGTATAAATTCAAACATTTGTGTGGCCTATATTCTTGCTTCACAGAACAACTCACATCTCATTATGTATTTTTGTGCTAATCCAGTTTGCTACCAATGGAATAGGTTGAGTTGATACCTAACACATAGGCACCAGACTATGATTAGAACTTGGAGTCTGCACGGCTGGACAACTGTATGAGCAACAAATAGAATTGGACTGCAGGTACTTGCTCACACTTCTATTGGGGAAATTAGAAAAAGAATCAGCAATACTAAGGTTTTAAGATCAATACTGGTCTTCAACAGTTTCTTGCTAAGGCCGCTGCCTAATACAAACTTTCGTTATTTTTTAAAAATGGCAGGCCTACCTTTGGTGTGGAAAAAGGGTATACATGAGAAAGTTCTTAAGTCACGGAAAACGGTCTACAGTCCAAAACCTTTGATAAATTCGTTTAAAAGAAATGCCTTTGATTATGCTCAGTTTGTTCTTTGAGACGTTAGAACACTGATTGGATACAGACCCTTAACTGATACAAGTCCATTAGATTGATCAGTGGCATATTTAAGTAAACTAAATATTAGCAACAAAATGAAACAAGTCCAAAATTTGATAATTTAAATGACAAAGTAGGGACAGCATGAGTGCAATATGAAACTCCTTTCCTTACAGAGGGGAAAGGAAAAAAAAAACTGCTTTCTTCCCAGAAACAGGGGGTAGATTAAAGAAGCAGGAAGCTTACCACACGACTGACAATAAGTATCAAAGTATGGTCAACTAGTGTTGCTGCAATGGTGCATGTGGGAGACGATCTTATAGAATAGATATATAGAGTTAAATGCCTGAACCTGAAAAGAAAGCCACATGATGTAATATTCTTATATAATCCCAGCACGTCAGAACATAATTAGGGGCTGGAATATGTATTTACAATCCCCATACACCAACAGGAATGATGAACGTCAACAATATATGACCCCAGCAGGCTTGAATTACGCCATATGGTCACAGTTTGCAAAACAAACGATCAAATGCAGAGTATTTGGCTTAATCAGCGATCACTAACGATTATAATGCATTAGGCAGGCAGTGGTGGAAAATTGCAACTACCGACGGGAGCAGGGGGCGGGGCAGGAATTGGAGACGCGGGGAGCCAAAAGCTAATGCTGACGATACTCGAGAGGAAATACAAAACCACGCTATTATTCTCTTTTATTATGCACATACATGTCTACTGGCCTAGTCTAGTAAGGATAACAAACACTGCATCATCCATAATTTGTGGTGTATCATAGCAGGGGCGGATCGCGGATCCGGTATAGGGCATGGGTGTACAGTTTTAATTTTTGCGAAAAAAAAATCGAAGTTATTAGTGTGCATAATGCATGTAATTGGGTTAGATTAGATCCGGGTACAGATAATTTACCTTAGGGTTTGGGTTTGGGGGTGCTCGGTTTCACGCAGCAGGAAGGGAAGGACGTATCAGGTGGACGATCGTTGCCGGCGAAGAAGGGCCGGCAAAGACGGCGGCGCCGCCAGGAAAGAAGCCACGCCCACGACAGTGGTAAACACGAGACGGGAACGG